ACACGCACGCCAAACGGTCATCGGCCAGATTAGTCGTATTCTCGGTTATTATGTGGTTTTGTATGTAAATGAATACGATCCTAATATAATTATAATTCGATAATTCTCCCCAAATCGCGAGATTTGCCTTCTAGCAATCTCATTGCTCACTTATTCGTGAGTACAATATTTTTGCCTTCCTTACTATATGTACATTCCTATCAAGTATGAGACATCAGGTCAGACACGGAGTGGAAGTTCGGAAGACCCAAAGTGGCTCAGAATTCAGGCGAATCAAGGTTCAGAAGACGCAAACTGAGTCGCATGGGGTCTTCTTAAGTTTCACTTCGTGTCTCCCATGATGTATGGCATGCGATAGGAATGTACTCTTAGTGTATAGCTTCGCTTGTGCTCCGACTATGTTAAGTCATACAAAATACGGGTTGTTTCGAATGTGCATCGACTATCAAGCGCTCAACCACGTTACCTCATATCTCAGTATCGCATCCCACGAGCTGGCGAACTTGTCGACCGGCTTCGCACAACTATCGTCCTTTCCAATATTGACCTTGTCGTATGTTACCACGAAAACCATGTCAACCCTGATAAACATGTAAGAACCGACTTTCAAACCCCCTTCCAAACGGACTCCTGGTGTAATGAATAAGGCATGTTGCCCTTCGGCCCAACCAACTTTCAAAATACCTCTAGGAGGTTTAGAAGCTAGGGAACAATGAAAGGAGGAATATGGTTTGCTCTAGAGAGGGAAGATATGTTATACAAGCAAGAGTAAGCAAGAGGTAGCACAAAGGTGCATCACCAACAATTGTAACAGAAAACTACACTACGCTATGCTACGGATAGTTAACATATAAAATATGTTTTGACACACCCCCTTAACTGCCTGCAGAAAATAACAATTAACGACTGGCGCTCAGAGTCTGACGCACAGCAACTGACGTGCAGCAACTGTACCGCGCAGCAACGGCGCGTGGCAGGTTCCCAGCACGCGCGCGACAGGTGAGCAATCCAACAAGTAGAAGGCACGGAGAACGCGGAGAGGTGCATAACGGAAAGGGAGAGAGAGAGAGAGGAGGAGGAGAGATCTGCACAGCGGAAGTAGTTGGAGCGGCGTCAGCAGGTGATGTGGCGTTAGCAGCAGTATCAGCCACTGCCGCCACCCCCTGCACCCTCCCCCTTGGGGGGCAAATAGCTCACCCGAGGTCTGGGCATACAAGGTAACGTCACCCTGGAGCTGGCTCCGCAGATGGGGCGTGACGTCAAGCAGCCATGTGTCAAAGTCGATCGCCCGCCCCTCCGCATCGAGCCGTAGTACGAACTCGGACGCCATGAGAGGAGTGAGCAGGGGCACATTTGCAGCAGATGAGAGGGGACAGCCACTAGCGGAGGAGAAGACAGCCAGAGGCAGTTAGGCAGAGCCAAACCCTAAACAGTGGCTGCACGCGCGGCGGCAGTAGCTGGAGGCACGGCGGTAGGGCGCAACGGCAGGCGCGACGGCAGGGCGCGCGACAGACACGACGGCAGGGCACGACAGCGGGCGCGCGGCAGGCGCGGCGGCAGGGCGCGACGAGCGCGCGGTTGGGCGCACGGCAGGGCGCGGCAGGCGTGCGGCAAAGCGCGCTGCAGGCTCACAGTAGGCGCGCACCAGGGCGCGCGGCAGGGCTCGGCAGGCGCACATGGCAGGCGCACGGCAGGCAGGGCGTGCGGCAGGCAGCGCACGGCAGGCAGGGCGCAGCAGGGCGTGCAGCAGGGCGTGGCAGGACGCGGCAAGTGTACGCGGCAGGTAGCGCGCGACAGGCAGGGCGCGCGGCAGGCGCGCAGCAGGGCACGACAAGGCACGAGGGAGGGTGCGCGGCAGGGCGCGACGGGGTGCGACAGTAGGGCGCGTCGGGGCGCAACGGCGGGGCGCGACGGGGCCGTTAGAGGGGGTTGGGGGGGGGGGGGGTGGGTGGGCTGCTAGAGGGTGCTAGAAGGGGGGCGGGCGCGACGGGGCGCTGGAGGGGGCCGCAAGTGTGTAGGTCGTGAGGGCCCGAGGGCAGCTAGGGAGGAAGGTGGTGCGGAGGCGAGAACCAACATAATCAGATACCATGTCAAGAACATAATGAATGACTGGGGGAACAAGTAGCAACACATACCCTAGAGAAAAAAGGGTAACTTTTGTTTTACCTTGATACCAATTTCTATTACCCTGTGTGTACAGGGTTCGCTGAGCATTACACTGATACCGGAACCTTTTTACCGAGGATCCGCCCTCACATAACGCTGACAAATTTCGCCACGGTCCCACCACCGTGGTTGTCGCTATCGACCACAGGCGCAAAACCTGGAAAATCTTGTCGGCGGGCCGCCTCTTCGCCCTATTGGTTGTTTGACCCACACTTGCGCCAACGCACCCCAAAAACCTGCCACAACACGCCATTCCCATTGCCAACTGAGCCAAGTAGCGCGCCAACTGTGATTCGTGCTGTCCTACGCATCACAGTGCAGACGTTGTTATAATATGGACTATAAGATGTGAAGTTAATGACTTGGCAAACCTGTAGTGAAAACAACCTAACTGCAAACTTACACACACAAAATCAGTGTATGGAATATTTTAGGCTTGTATACCCTGTTTCCAGCAGGGTATGAACAAAATTACCGTAAGGGTCAGGGTACAGCAGGCCTGGAATCCTGATTTGTCAGGGTGGGCCAAAACCAATTTTGGGCCCTGATGAAAACCCATGCATAGCCTAACAACGTACACCTAATACATTTATAAGTGTACTTTTGATACACTCGTCTTCTCTTACCTGCAATTTGGTATGTCTTTCCATCGTTATACGCCCACCTCCACGCCCCTACATTCCTAGTTTGACACAAATGCCACAACACATGCTATCCACCGTGATTCGACCACCATCCGAGCCCATAATCGCACCTGTGAAGATTCTAAAGCGTCGAGTTCGCAACCAAGGAGAGCATGGCACAATTCTTGTTACGACTGAAGGGCCGCATGCATGTTGAAGATGGTCTGGTGTACCATGGACAACATTAAGAACCATACCGTCCTCCAAGTGTATATTCGAAGCCGAAACTTCCGCGACGTGCACGCACTGTCGTAGGCGTATGCTTTCTTAGGGAAGGGAACATTGTTGTCTAGTTCGCAGCCAGCTCTGCAACATCTGAACACTACTTAACAAATCTCGACCGTTCATTGCCTATTTAGCTCTCGTCGAGCTCCGCCCGCACGTTACTATGCACACACTTTATACCAAACCTCGCGTAAGGCCGACCTGACCCCTCGCTTCGGGAATAGCCTAGATATCGGAGCCTGAATCGTACCACACCTTAGATTTTCGTAAGTTACCTTACCGTTCTTCGCTATTCAATGTTAATCCTTGCCTTCGCTGTATATTCTCGCCTAGTTATTGGAATCATCAATGACCAAACATGTTAGCCCACTAACTAGAGTGGGCTTTCATAGTGTTTGGTGAGGAAGTGTTCACGAATTTGTTACAGATACACTTCGACATGGCTACCAATTCTGCACCCAGGTCCCGCTAACGCAGGAGCGGCTCCACCACATATGCCAGAAGGATGCGCGCGATGATCCACCAGCATCGGATGGAGTTATGGCGCGTGACAGAAATAAATGATTGGTGGATATTCTCACCAATGAGACGTGAAGGTTCACTTGAACTAGCTGATCTGTGCAAATGCCGTCAATATGAGTGGTGATGAAGGCTGTTTGGAAAGTCGAATCACAGCGAAGAATCCAATGGCTGTTCCAAACCAACCCTTGAGTTAGGGCGTATCCAACTTCGGGTCATCAGGCACTGTTTGGGTCATCAGTACACTTTGGGTCATGTGAGGACCAATGGTATTCGAGTAGTGTACTTAAAATGCGCCTGATTGGTCTTCCAGGAATCTCGGATGACCCGAACAGTGCCGATGACCCGAAGTTGGATACGCCCTTCGGGAGGACAGCTGAGATTGGGCAGTCCAGCCCAGAGATGTACACGCAGGCAGACACTAGCGCGGGAGTTAAACCGTACCGAACTGTTCTGTCATAACCAAAACCATACCTAACCGTTCTCGAGATTCTCCATTCTGACACGGTATGGTATGGAGGCCCTCCGTCCCGTCATTTTCCTGTTTGGTGTGGATGCTTTGCAGCAAACATGTTGACCACTACACAGCCTGCCCCATCTAGCTTCTGAACTTACCGCAGGGCAAACCGAGTTACCGAGCCTGGTGGACCAGACCGAACTGTACGGCCCAGAAGAACCAAGGCACAGCACTACAGAAATGCTTGAACCCAAGACCGAAGGGGGAACTCTCCCCTCAAAGAGGAGCCAGGTTAGGAATGCCGGAGCAACGACGGAGGTTTGGTTGGTTCAGCCACAGCTGATGAGAACAAACTTCTCGGCCTTGGCTGGCCTTTTTTCCGCGTTCTCCTCCGGGATACTAGTACAGTGACCGAGTCGGATAATGCACTTGTGGAACACTTGTCTCCGCACACGCAGCCCCTGCGAGGCGTTGACGAGCGTGGATTCCTCTCCAGCTCGCGATGGAGGTGTTTCGTTGGTTGCTGAGTTAGCTCGATAGGCTGCATAAAAGCCACACTGTTCGGTAGTTAATCAGTCCAATAATTGCTCGTAACTGCGACTGGCTTGGGAGTATCATATGTTGTCTTGGCTCAGGTGGTCACTGACTGTATTCGTTGTGCTTCACCTGCGGTTGGCATTATTTTCGATGTTTTGACTTGGACCGACTCTTAGCTAGTCAATCTGTGATCAGTTTTTTTGCCGCTAGCTGATCGGCCTCCCGTGGGCGTTCTTCTGGCGGTGAGCCCAGCTCGAAGCGTCACACGTTGCTGTCGTTAGTAAGCGACACTTGTAACAGGCGACAGTCGTTAATCCGCGACACCCCCCAAAGTCGTAACCAGGCGAAAGCCGTTAACACGCGAGAACATTTTACCTCGCGAAAGTCGGTACAAGGCGACAGTCGGGCCGAGGATGGTATTCCGGGATCTGAATCCCGTGCTGCACTACTCGTCGCTGCTGCGCCTCGCGCTGCCCTCCATTCTCCTCCAGAGTGGCGCGCCGCTCGCCATCACCTTCCAGACCGCGCTCCTCGGTCGCAAGTCCACGGAGATCGTCGCCGCATGGGCCATCGTCGCAAGTGAGTCGCAGAAAGTCGCAGAACGTCCTTGAAAGCCGCATAGAGTCGCACAGCGGAGACTAGTGCTGAGCCTGTCTGTTACTTACTAGTGGGAGGCCGTAGAGGGCACGGGGACCGGTAGGGGGGAGGGGTGGTTGGGGGAGGGGGAGGGGGGGGTGGACGAGGGCGGATGACGCTGGAGAGGCGAAAGCGCGCCGGGGAATAAATGGAGGGACGTGGAGCTGACACGTGGTGTGGGTTTCGTGTGCGTTTCGTGCTGCGCGTACGCATGGGAGTGAGGAGCGTGCATTGATGTACTTCGCAAATCACTCGTAACCGTTTTGTGTTGCGCGCTTACCCATGAGCGTGAGGGGCGTGTATAGGACGCATCCATACCTGCAGTGGAGGTGTATGCACGTCGCAGGTAGTTTCGCTGTAGATTCCGGAGGAACGTGATCCGTGTTGTTCCGGAGGATACGTGCTTCCCGACGCGACCTGCGCCGTATCTCCGGCGCGCTTCGTCGCTAGCAACAGTGGCGCGTTCTAACGTCGTGGGGAAAGGAAACTTACGGTTCATCACGGACTTTAGGACCGTACCTGGAGCCAAGACGCGACGGTTGAGGCATTTTTAGAGCTTCAAGACTCTATAATCAGACCAAAGTGAGCGCGCTCCGGGACACTTTTATATTCCATTCGTTCCTGATCCCGTGTTCCGTATCCCGTGATCATGGGACAAGTGATCACGGGACAAGTGGTCACGGGATAAGTGATCACGGGATAAGTGATCACGGGATAAGTGATCACGAAGAGAGCAACCTGTCCCGTGTTCACGTAATCGCGGCGATAGCTTCGTCCCTAAATAGACCTGTGAGGAGAGGACGAGGGTGAGATGGAGAGAGAAAGAAAGAGCGAGCGGAGAGAGAGAAAAGGGGAATGGAGGGGATTGATTCACGTGACTCAACTGTCTTCCCCTTCTCTCTACCCGTTGTTCCCTCTTCCCTCCACTTTTCTCTTACTCGCCGTTTCCTTGTCTTCCCTCTTTGTCTTCCCTGCGGCGTGCGTCTCTCGGTGGTGTGGTGCAACGCCTCTCCGTCTCTCTCCTCCTGCCGCTCAACTGCCACGTGTCGCCGCCTGCCGTCTGATCGGCGACAGCCGCTACGAATGCTGCTACAGTCGTTTTCAACTTCCTTGTCGTCGGCGTTACTGCCAAGGTACGCCTCATGATTCTCCGTTACTTCTCTCTCGTCCTTTCCCCGTCGTATGCAAACGGACTCTGTTCAAGTTGACGGATTCTGACTCATTCCGCTTGCGTCTACCCTCGCCCTCTTTCTTTCCGCCTTCCTCCCTCCGTCCTCCTTGTCGCTATGTTGCTTCCACCTACTCGACTTCGAAGGCTTCTCACAAACCACCCACTCCCACTCTTCCCCCCGTTATATTCCGCTTTAGACTTTCCCACCTTCCCTCCCCTTTCCCCCGCTATCCTCCCCCACTTTCCCCCAACCCACCTCCCCCTCCGTCCTCAACCCCTTCCCCCTCAGGTGACTAAAGTGGTGGCGGTGGGGGCATGGGCGCAGGTGGGTGCGCGCATCCGCCTGGCCTTGGGGATGGCGCTGGTGATGGGCATGGTGGCGGTGGCGCTGTTGCTGGCGCTGCTTCCCCCTTCTCACCCTTCCCCCTCAACCCGCTCCCCTTCTCGCTCCCCCCCTTCCGTATCTCTCTTCACACACCCACCCACCTCCACCCTTTCCCGTCGTTCCCCCTCTTTCCCCCCTTCTCCCTGCCCCAACCCCCCCCAGGTCACTAAGGTGGTGGCGGTGGGGGCATGGGCGCAGGTGGGCGCGCGCATCCGCCTAGCACTAGGGATGGCGCTGGTGATGGGCATGGTGGCGGTGGGGTTGCTTCCCTCTTCTCATCCTCCCCCCTCAACCCACGCCCCTCTCCCCTCCCCCCGTATCCCTCTTTACACACCCGCTCCCACCCGTTCCCGTCTTCTCCCCCTCTCCCCCTAACCCCCCGCAGGTCACTAAAGTGGTGGCGGTGGGGGCATGGGCGCAGGTGGGTGCGCGCATCCGCCTGGCCTTGGGGATGGCGCTGGTGATGGGGATGGTGGCGGTGGGGATGCTGCTGGCGCTGCAGCAGCCGCTGTGGCTGCTGCTGGCGGATACTCCCAAGGTGCTGCCCTACGCGCGCAGCTACTTCTACCTGCGGGTCATTGGCGTGCCGCCGCAGCTGCTCGTCATGTGCACCTCGGGAATACTCCAAGGTTATAAGGTACGGTTCAGTGCGGTTCAGTGCGTTGCAAGGTGCGGTTTAGTGCGGTTCTGCTGGGTGTTGTTGCTTGCGGATACTCCCAAGGTGCTGCCCTACGCGCGCAGCTATTTCTACCTGCGGGTCATTGGCGTGCCGCCCCAGCTGCTCGTCATGTGCACCTCGGGGATCCAGCAAGGGTACAAGGTACGGTTCAGAGCGGTGGAAGGTGCGGTTTGAGAGGCTCAGAGGGGTTTACAGAGGTTCACTGTGTAGTACAGGGTGGGGCGCGGATGGTGCTGGAGCTGTCAGTAGCGGACAGGTGGGCTGCCTCCAGAGGCCATAGGACAGGTGGGCTGCGGGGGCCTTACTTCCATCCATCAACTCGTGCTGTTCTATCTAGGACAACGAGACAAACCCCATTGGTTAGCGGAAGAAAGAAAGGAGCCTGGTTAAATGCGAGCTATAACGTTTCTTAGAGAGCCAGTTTGAATCAAGGTTCACTGTGTAATACAGAGTGGGGCGCGGATGGTGCCCTACACTACACGCCCGTATCTGATCGCATTTCTACACCCCCACACCCTGTCTCCGCCCCTTCCCCTTCCTTCCGCTTCCCCTCAAACCCTCCCCAGCGAGTGAACCTAGTGGCATGTCTGCAGGGAGGTAGAGTCTTGCCTCCTACATCGCCCTCTACAAACTCGAGTGGGGGCTTGTCGGAGTCGGCCTCGGCACCATCCTCCATCCCACCTCATCCCTTCAACTCACACCCCCTCGCCCTTCTCCCCCCTTCCTCCTCTCTCCCCAACCGCCTCTCCGCCCCTTCTCCCCACCACCTCCTCCCGTCCTCGTCCTCGTCCCCTTCTACGCCCCTCTCCCCCCCCCCCCCCCCCCCCCCCCCCCCCCCACCTTCTTCCTTCAGAGGGTGAACCTAGCCGCATGTCTGCAGGGAGGTAGAGTCTTGCTAGACGTCTTTGCCTCCTACATCGCATCCTCGCCTCCTCCACCGTCGCCTCAACTCACACCCCCTCTCCCTTCTCCCGCCCTTTTCCTGCGCCCCTTTTCCTTCCCTTTCTCTGCTTCGTCTCTGCCCCTTCCCTTCCCCCCTACCCCCACCGTCCCCCCCCCCCCCAATTCCTTCAGAGGGTGAACCTAGTGGCATGTCTGCAGGGCAGCAGAGTCTTGCTAGACGTCTGTGCCTCCTACATCGCGCTCTACAAACTTGACTGGGGGCTTGTCGGTGTCGGCCTCGGCACCATCCTCGCCTCCTCTGTCGTCGCCGCCGCCTCTTTTGTCTGCATCCTGCTGCTGCCGCCCGAAGAAGGGCGGCACAAGATCCATATCTTCACGCCGCTGCTGAGCTCCCTGTCTGGCCGGGCGGCAGGGGGGAAACGCGGCGGGGGGTGCTGGAGTCCCAGGGGGAATGGGGTTGTTGCTCCTGGTGGTGGTGGTGGTGGTGGTGATGGGGAGGGAGAGGAGGCGTTGCATGTGCCTTTGTTAGATGAGCATGTGGGGGAGGGGGGGCAGCCGCAAAGTTGGCAGCAGAATGGGGGAAGGGCAGTAGGAGGGATGGTAGGAGGAGGGGAGGAGTTGACAGAGGAGGAGGAGAGGGTGAACGAGGTGTTGAATGAGAGCACGTGGAAGTTCATCTGGGATGGACTCAGCACCATGCTGCGATCCGCGCTCGTGCAGGTATGGGTTGATGCGGGCAGGTGCAGTGCGGTACAGTGCGGTACGGTGCTCTCTCCAGGTGTTAGCCCACCAGGTCCTTATGCAGCTGTGGATGATCAACATCAACATCGCTCCTTTTGCTACGCCCCCCTACGCCCCTCACCCCCACCAATGTCCTCACAATTCTTCCGAGCATCATTCTTCCTCGTCCTGGCATGTGCCACGTCATTGGGCATGCATGCCGTGGCAGCCCACCAAGTTCTCATGCAGCTCTGGATGATCAACATCTACATCGCAGACGGCTTCGCCTCTCCCTTTTCCCCCCTTGTCTTGCTCCGTTTTCTCGCCTCACTTCCTCCCACGCTACTCCCTCCCTCTCCCCTTTTGTGACCCCCCAGGCGTCTTTTTTCCTGGTGCTCGCCTGTGCCACATCTCTCGGAATGCACGCGGTGGCAGCCCATCAGGTGCTCATGCAGCTCTGGATGATCAACATCTACATCGCCGACGGTTTCGCCACCGCCGGCACCATCGTCGCCAGCAGCGTCGCGGGGCACTTAGCTAAGAGCCGCACGCCCGCAGAGCACGCGATCCACTTAAGGGATCTGAGAGAGGCGTGCTGGAGGGTGCTGAACATGGGGGCGGTGGCGGGCGTGGCGATAGCACTGGTGTACCTGGGGTGGCGCGAGCAGCTGATGGGTCTCTTCACGTTTGACGAGGAAACGAAGAAGGAATTGAGAGGCGCGTGGCTGTACCTGGCGCTCATTCAGCCGCTCAACTCCATTGTAAGTCGCTTGGCGTGCATGTAGTTTCGCTCCCCCCACCCCCCTTTTGATTTGAGCCACTCACGGCCTGGGTAAGGTGGGTGGGTTGGGGTTGTGGGATCTGAGAGAGGCGTGCGGGAGGGTGCTGAACATGGGGGCGGTGGCGGGCGTGGCGATAGCTCTGGTGTACCTAGTGTGGCGGGAGGAGCTCATGGGTCTGTTCACGTTTGACGAAGGGACCAAGGTTTAAATCACGAATTTTAGGTTTCAAACGGTGTTAGAAGATTTTCATACACATCACGAATCACGAATAACGGTGTGATTCGTGATGTGTATGACTATTTACAAGCATTGTTCGAAACCTCAAATTTCGTGATGCTTTACGAAATTCGGCGTTTTTTCATAGATGTACCGCGCTTTAAGCTACGGAATTCGTTTTCGTCGAGTTGGGGACTGGGGTACGAATTTGACTCCCTCTTCCCACATAAATTCCTACACTCTCTCCTAGGCTCTTTCTACCCAGAGCTTTTTCTTTTGCCTCACCGAATGTTGTTTCCTGCCCGCCCGAGCGTCAAACTACCGTCAATAGTTTCTCCAACGGCGCGTTAAGCGTCCAAACGCTAGCGTCAATAGGCTTGACGCGTCAAAGCCATCATAGGTAGAGGGACGCTCAACCCAAAATGGTATGTTCATAACCCCCCCGGACGAGTTTAACTCGCACTCGTCCGAGTTTTTACCAACTCTCGGGCGAGTTTCAGAGAATCTCGTCCACTTGGACGAGTGACATGGACGAGTGACGAGTCGGACCCCGGGCCAAAAAAACTCGGCCGAGTTTTGCTCGGCTTGTGGCAAAACTCGGCCGAGTTCTTTCCTGGACGAGGCGAGTTTCACTCGCCTCGCCCACATGCACAAGTGTACCTGGCTGTACCTGGGCTGTCCCTCGCTGTACCTGGCTGTACCTTCTCCTACATGGCTCTCTTCCTCACCATCGGCTTCCCTCCCTTGGCGGTGCCCCCCCTTCGCGCTCCTTCACCTCCTCCCCCCACCAACAGGTGTTTGTGTACGACGGGTTGATCTATGCAGCGCAGGCCTTCTCCTACATGGCCGCCTTCCTCACTATCGGCTTCTTCGCCCTCTTCCTCCCCTGCATCGGTGCGTTCCCTTCTCATGTTGCTGCTATTCCCTCCCCTGCATCGGTGCGTTCCCTTCTCATGCTGCTGCTATTCCCTCCCCTGCATCGGTCCATTGCAACCCCCTCTTACCCCCCCCGCCTCCCGCCCTCCCGAGGTGACTTTTGAGTCGACTCAAAAGTCACCTCGTTCCCTTCTCATGTTGCTGCTATTCCGTCCCCTGCATCGGTTCATATCAACCCCCCCACCTACCCCCCTCCTCTCCCCCCCTCCCCCCCTCCCCACCACCACCGTTTGTTGGCATGCTCGTTATTTCATGCGCTGTTCAAATTCCTCAATGTGTTTCCTCGCAATGCCGAGTTTTGATACGTATAAGAACTCGTTTCACTGATGAGTTGCCTGTTAACCCCTATCCTCCGTGCTGCCTGGTCCCTGCCAACCCACTCCCCACACCCCACACCCCACACCCCACACCCCACACCCCACACCCCTCCCCACGCCCCACTCCCACACCCCACACCCCACACCCCACACTCCCTCGCTCCCCGTCTCCCCGTCTCCCCCTCTTTCAATGCAGCATTGGCGCACTTCTATTTCAAGACGCTGGTGGCGGCGTGGGGTGCCAAGGGAGTGCTGAACGCGGTGCGCTTCTTTGTGGCCGGCTACAAGATCCACTTCGACTTCCTCTGCCCCACACGCAAGTTCCCCCCCACAACAAACCACCTCACCGCTCCCAACTCCTCCGTTTCTACTGCTGCTGCTCCTGGAACCGCTCTGAACAGTGCAGCACCTCCTGCGTTATATGCCGGGGTTAATTCTCCCCAGGTTGCGTCCTCGTCCTCGTCTTCGTCCTCTTCGTCTGTTAGTGGACTGAAATGGACGGCGCCAGGGTATGTTGCTCCTTCGCATGTACCCGCCAGTCAGGCAGTGCACAGAAACCAAGGGGGAGGGTGTGAATGTGACTGTAATGGTGTCCGTGACTGTATGCAAGGGTGCAAAAGTGGGCTTCAGAGTGTGGCTGAGGAAGAGGAGTCGGCTGCAGCAGCTCGTGGGGTGGAGGACGTTTTGTTGCGGCCGTGTTCTGATAGAGGGCTGCCACCGTTCCCGGTGCTCAAAACGAAACAGGAGGAGCTAGACAGTGCAACGCACGTCAAATTTTAATGAGCTATGGTAATGGTTTTGTTGATGGTAGAGTTTGGGCTTGGGGAGTGTGGAATCTATTTGCCGGTGGTTTCAGGTAGGCTTATTTCAGAGTCAGTATAATCCGCTGACCCTGGTAGTGCAACATATGTTTGGGGTGTTATGTTCAAGTTTATGTATATATTCAAGTCTGAATTATGCATACGTGAAGGGAATCAGGTATTGAGACAATACAAGGCTGTGTAAAACGGGATAACGGGAGACCCTACAAATCCATCTCTCTTCTCTTCATATCGTCCCTCCCAGCCTCCCCACACCCATCATCACCCCCCGGACGGGTTTTTCAGCAACATGCAAGCGTACTGTAGAACATCTCCCGCACGGTGCGGCACCACCTCCGCTCAGCACTTCGCTCGTTCGTGTGCGCTACAGTGCGATCTTGTTCCTTTGTACGGACGGACACCCGCAGTGCAAAAAAAACTTTCGTGCTCGAATGCAACCCGATGCAATTTGGGATCTGCTGTACTACTTCCGTCAAGTCCCCTCGATTCGCTGGCTTGTGGAGTGCGAGTGCAAGGAGACTAGCCGTTGTCAAAAAACCTTCGTAGTTGAGATTTTCGGGGTGATTAGGCGTACAGCATGAGAAACACACCAATAAAGCCTTCCGTTGTCAGGAACACAGTTGCTTCCTGACGACGCACGGCACTACCAAGCGACACGACACCGCGATGCGATGTCGATTCAGTCAGTTCAGCAGCAGCTGGAGCTGCGGATCGCACTCGTCGATAATTGTGGCTGTGTATTAAAGTGGGTCCGCAGGAGCTCATGGACGCAACAATCTGTTTTCCTTTCTTATCTCCACTGATCCTTGCTACTAGGCTTATCTCGCTCTGTGACAAGCACCGCTCCTAACCATGGCGTCTAAGGTGAACCTCGTCTTGGCGTCGAGCCGGATTACTCTCATCGCCAGCTTCATCGCCGCCTTTATACTAATGCCTTCTGGGTAGGCTTTCAGACGCTTGAGAGAACCTTTTTAACGCCGCGCTTTCCCCCATGTTCGCAAAAACCGCGATGCGCCATGTCGGACCGGATCCGACCGCAGTTGTTGTTTCAGCCACCAGCATCAGCTCTTTCCAACTGAATTATTAGTAACGATTTAAATACATTCCCTTATCTCGTACCTCAGGTGTTGGGCTCAGAGCACCATGAGCACGACAGTCCACAGCGACTTCTTCGAAGGCGACGTGCGCATCGTCGTGGGTCCCAACCGCAACCAGATCCGCGTGCAGGTTTGTTCGTTTTCGCTTTCCCTCGCGTTAATCCGTTCGTTCGTTCGTGCTGCATTGCCATCCTCAAGCACTGTCCACAATGTGCATACTTTCTAACGTCCATCGTCCTGATTTTCGCCTATCTGCGTGTAGCGGCTCATCCGTTCACGCGTTTTTTCCCTGTTCTTACTGATGCTGAATTCCGATGCAGCCGGACATTCCGGGTTGGGCTAAGACGGTCACACCGAAGAAAGAGTACATCACGGAGACGTACCCTTTTCCGTCCAGTGAGTGACAGCGAAAGAAAGAGAAAAAAAGAAACAAAATGGTAGTAAAATCACACCCACACACCGCATGAAAACAAAATACGAACGAAACAATAAGCTACGTAATAAGGCTCTGAATATGGGCTCTAGAGAGTGGCATCATTGCTGTCTGTCGGAGTGCAATACCCCCCACGCGCTGTCTGTAGGATATTCGCTCACTTCCACCTGTCTCCCCTCCCCATCACCCCCCATTCCTGCCTTCTCCTACCAAACAAAAGTATTTCAGTCCGTTTTTCGCCAAGCTTATTCTGCATATTACCGTGTTTCCGCTTGCCTGCTGTCGCCTTTTGCCTGTCTGCGTGCAGACTTCTCCTCTCTCACGGACGTGAAGCACGTCATTATGACCTTCGCTCCTTCCAACTGCTACCCCATCTGTGAGTGTGTGTGTGTGAATACGCCATGTCCCCTGTTGTGACGACTCAGATGACTTGTCTCACGCACGTGAAGCACATTTCCTCGCCAATTCCAATTGCTACCCCATCTGTCTGTCAGTGAGTGTGATGTTAACACGCCGAGACATCTTTCAAGTGGCGTAGTTCCTATTGCCCCACGTTCAGCCATGTCAAGCATGCCCCACGTTTCTAAACCTGAAAACCCTGAATTAACTATTCCCTCTCTCGTCCTTCTCCTTACCCTGCAGACAACACCACCAACGTAGCCGTTGAACAAGCTGTTCCTGCGTACCTCGACTCAGGCACGGACATTTGCCTCTCCTGCTACGTCTACCTCACTTTCTCCTTCCTCGACGTCGACACGGCAAGCCAGATCGGCAGCGAGTGCACTGAAACGGATAATGGGAAGCTTCGCGGATACATCTGCTCCACGGACGAGGGGGCTGACGTCACGGTGGCGCAGGCGTTTGGGAGTCCGCCGGTGGTGAATGGCGGCGGGACGTCGGTGGGGTTTCTCTACACGGAGATGTTTGTGCGCCAGCCCGCTGGCTCCACCATGCGCCTCCCGTCCATCCGTGTAGATCCACTGTGAGTACCGATGGTGCATCCATATTCTGCAGTATGTGTGTTTTTTTTTTTTTTTTTTTTTTTTTTTTCCGGCTTCATTAGAACCCTCTGGACCTCTAGCAGTGTTTTGCGTGCTCGGTATTGGTTGGGATTGCATGGATCAGCGTTTCTCTCTGCGTTTCCTTGTGTGTGTGTGCACGTGTTTACATGTGCTGCATGTGTACATGTGTGTATGGTTGCATGTGTGCATGGTTGCATCCCACCAGGGCTATGAAGGGAATCGGGTACATCATGGTGCCATCCAAGGGACCCGCTCCTCTCCCTGGGACTTTTGACTCCATGCCCTTCATTGCAGGCAATGGCAGCAAGGTGGGACCAGAGAAGCCAGGAATTGCAAAAGCAAGTGGCTGAAGTGCAAAAGCAGCACTGAATCTTCTGTGCCTCTTTCACACTTCACTTCACATATTATCACTTCCCTCCACAACCACTCAATTCCACACGAAACCGTGTGTGACAACATGAGTCTGTTGGCACCTTATACATCGCCATGTTACTTCTTTTTGCTCATTAAACCCTTTAAACTCCACTCAAAACCTTGCAACCTCCCCCCTGTCCGTCCATCCTCATCCACACCCACCAGGCTGTCGGCATTGGTCTAGTGTTCCCAATCACCCTGATCACTCAGGCATCTCTCGCAACTACCCCGTTTAGCAGCAACACAAAGCAGACAGCCACGCCCACCGCCTTCCCTGCCCTCTCCATGAGTGCTCCTGCCAACCAGTCACTCACTCTCAATGCCTCCATCGTGCCGCCTGCTGCTACCGCTGCTGCCGCCACCCCATACAACATCACGTTCTCCATCGGCAAGGATGCGTTTTCGGTATGTGCTTTGTCTGCTTAACTTTCAAACGAGCTGGTAGAAAATCGGGTGGGTATTGACAGTCTGCTGATAACCTCTAATTATGCGTGTGCTTCTGCCTTTTGTTTTGCAGAGACCAAGTGCATCTTGGATGATGATGATGCTCGCACTACTCGTCCTGCTGGCTGTCCTGTAGTCCCATGAGCCCATCACATGCTCGTTCATGGCACTATCCAGTATGCTGTGGAAGTACATATGCAGTTTTAGATCCTTGCATAAAGTGTTCAGAATGTTAGTTACATGTAGAGTTGGAAAGGTTCTGCAGGAGAAATAGCAGCGAGCCAGGACTGGGCTATTTGTTTCAAATTTCCTTGAAATCCTAGCCTGCAGCAATCCAAATGAGCCGCTCTGACATGCAAGATCTCACTCCACCCAGTCATTCTGGCAAATCATCGAGTTCCAACCAACTGAACTCCCTCCCTACACGTTCAAGTTGGACTGGCCTTCAGCTACGGGCATGGTCAGGCCGTACACTAGTACAGGTGATGCTTCGTTGCCAAAAGATGGTTCCAGACGGTGGAAAGTGAGTTTGAGGTTTTCCTTATCGTTCAAAATGTTTTCCGCCCTAATTCGATTCTGAATCTGAACTCCAATTTTCCGTAGCATGGCGTTCAATTCAAGCTGGACAAATGTGAACGCAGATGCTTCTGGATTCTGGAACACAAGTTATTCATGAACATTTCCGTTAGACACGGAACCACGGACAAAAATCAAGGTGCGCCGCCGTGGCACCATCCTCCTAGATTTCTTATCCTTGTGGCTACGCTCCCTTCACCCATCACGGTGCATCCGGGCCGGATTTCTGGCAGAATGCAGGGACAGAACATCTTCCGCACGGCGCGGCACCACCGATGTGCCAGATTGCTGGGTTGTGTGCGCTACAGTGCGATGCGCTTAGTTTCTGACGACGTCCGGCACCCGCACCCAACCAAACAACCCAACCAACCGTTACGTGAACCCGAGAGCTCACTGCCTGGCACCAGCCAGTGGCACCCTGTCCTGTCCGCCTCACAGATGATCGCGTCTCACACGCCAGAGCCCAGGACGCGTTGGATCAAGTATTCGCATCGCACACGTCGAAAATCGTGGCCGAGTGTGAAAGGGGCTCAATCGCAGATCATTGCAGCCATCTGCTCCCTTTCTCCACTGATCGTTAGCTAGACACATTTCTCACTATGACTAGCACAACAATGGCTACAGCTAGTATGGCTTCCATAGCGAAGCTCGCGTCGGCGTCAAGCCGCATTACTCTCCTCGCCGGTTTCATCGCCGTCTCTGCTCTGATGCCTTCTGGGTAGGCCTTCAGATCACTAAGGGACCTTTTCAAATCTGCGAGCTTGCAAGCGAATCGATGCTTCTTGTCGATCTGATGACGTAGCCGCAGTTTCATTCAACGATCAGCGAGTTTCAGTCTCCTTCCACCCGATCAATTCAGTACTGATTCGGCTGTACTCGCGTATCTCACGTGTCAGGTGCTGGGCTCAGAGCACCATGAACACGACGTTCCACAGCAACTTCCTCGAAGGCGACATCCGCGTCGTCGTGGGACCCAACCGTAACCAGATCCGCGTGCAGGTTCGTTCGTTCGTTCGTTCGTTCGTTCGTCCTTCGCTCGTTCGCTCGTTTGTGCTGCATTGATCTTGTCATTGAGCCTTTTTCTCAAACGTGGCTACACCCTGACGTTCAATTGCCCTGCTTTTCCTCTACCTACGTCAAGTAGCTCACACGTGCACGCGTTTTTCCCTTTCGACCATGGTGATCGTCATTTACTGATTCTATTCTCCCCTGCAGGCCTACATGCCAGACTGGGCTAAGGCGGTCACACCCAAGCAAGAATACATTGTGGAGACTTACCTTTTCCCATCCAGTGAGTGACAGTAACAGTAAAAGGAGAAACAAAAGAATGGGGATTTTATTTTCATGAATAACAGCCTCGAAATATCATGACCTCCAGTGAGTGTCATTGCCACCTGTTCAAATGTAAATCCCTCCTCTTGCCACCCTCCTCTCCTCGTCATCACCCCCTCTTCCAACCTTCCCCTACGACACGTTCATTTCCAGTCAGTTTTTTGTCAAATTTATCTACATTCTTCCCTTTTTTCCGCTTGCCTCCGTTCGCCTCTCTGCACACGGCAGACTTCTCCTCTCTTACGGACGTCAAGCACGCCATTCTGACCTTCGTGTCAAGACTTAGGCAAGGATGGGTTCAACTATCGAGAGAGTTTTACAAGTAGGAAAACCCTAAGGGGTTATACCCCACAGAATCTACCCCACTACAGCCTACCAATAACTACAACATATAACATATATATGTTTGACACACCCCCATAGGCAAAGTGGGGGAGAGCAAGGGGTTACAAGACCAGTCAAGAAAGGCAAAGCAAGCTCAGGGTGGATCACAATGTCACCACACACTCTGACCACAAGCAAAGTGCCACAAGGCCAGTTCACATGCAGAGGCATATATGCAACACAAACAGCACAGTACAAGCAAAGCAAGCATGCAGGTATATATATACAGATCACAGTACAAGCAAAGCCTACAACAAGTGAGGAAAAGTGGGCACAAGCCCAAGCATAGTGCAGAAACGCTGATGATCACCAGACTGAAGTGCCTTGGTGAATATATCAGCAGTGTTGGCCCGAGTGGCCACGTAACGCAGACGAAGCTGACCACGCTGCTGCAACTCTCGAGCCATGAAGTAACGCAGAGCGATGTGCTTCGTTCTGTGCTCCAGTCTGTGCTCCTCACACAAGGCAATGGCTGCCTTGTTGTCGACGTACAGCACTGGAGGAGAACGAGGCCGCTCTCCCAAGTCGGTCAGCAGGTAGGTGAGCCAGCGTAACTCCTGTGCAGCCATGGCTGTGGCGTAGATCTCAGCCTCACAACTGGAGCTGAGAACTGAAGACGAACGTGTAGAACGCCAAGAAACTGAACCAGAGCCAAGGCTGAAGGTGTAACCTTGTGACGACCGCTGAGTAGTCTGGTCGTCAATCTAAGAAGCGTCTGAGTGCCCAGTGAGAACAACTGAGCTCCTCCCTCCAAGCACGAGCCCCATGCCTGATGTACTGCACAAGTAGCGCAGTACCCTCTTAGCAGCATCCATGTGCACCTTTCGGTGTCGACCAGGAGCCACGTAGCGAGCCAGAAGGCCAAGAGGGTACGCAAGGTCAGGACGAGTGCAGGTCATCAGGTACATGAGGCAGCCAACTAGCTCTGGGTAAGGACCACTCGGCTCTACGGACTCGTCCGAAAGTGGAGCTGAGAGCGAGTGACCTGTAGCCAGAGGAGTGGCCTGTGCCGAGGACCAGGTGAAGCCGAAGCGCTGAAGGACCTGCTGCACCATGTGTGACTGAGTCAGTGTGATGGTGCGGCGTGCTCTGTCCCGGGTGATCCGCAAGCCAAGATAGCTTGTCAGCTCACCCAGGTCTGTGCACGTGTGTCTCTTCTGCAGCTCCGACTTCACCAGGGCGAGAGCCTCAGTGTCAGCAGTGGCAAAGACCAAGTCGTCGACGTACACGAGGATGTAGAACGGCGGCAGCGAAGTGTCGGTGCGCAGAAACAGCGACGGGTCAGCAGTCGACGGAGCAAACCCAAGAGCCGCAAGTGTCGTCCTCAGTGTGTCGTGCCACTCACGTGGCGCCTGGCGGAGACCGTAGCTCGGCCGCCTGAGGCTCCACTGGGTACCAGGAGGGAACGACCCAATGAAGCCAGGTGGGCGGCGCAGCCAGATCTCCTCGTGCAGGCTGCCCTGTAAGAAGGCTGTGCTGAAGTCAAGAGAGTGAAGCTCGTAGTCACGCTGAGCGGCAACGTGCAGCAACACCCGAAGAGTGGTCATCTTCGGGGTGGGGGAGAAGGTCTAGAAGAAGTCTACTCCCTCTTGCTGACTGAAACCTCGTGCAACGTAACGCGTCTTGAAGGCAGGCGGAGAACCTGGCGGCCGCTTCACCCTGAAAATCCACATGCCACTGACGATGTTCGCCCCAGGTGGGGGAACCTCGTCGACGTAGGTGCCTGTGGACTTCCAGGATGCCATCTCTGCGTCCATGGCTGTCTGCCACTGAGAGGAGTACTCACTCGCGATCGCCTCAGCATAAGAGCGCGGGGTCGGGATGTCTGGAGCCTCCGGGTCTCCCTCAGGGGCAAGCAGCATGGACACGAGATGAGGCGCAGCGGCTGCAAGACACTCAAGGTCCTCCTGCCTGTCCTCAAGGACGTCCGTGCCAAGAGCACACTCACCCCCGACGGACGGAGGACAGACAGACTCAGACTCAGCAACAAGACTAGCGGCGTAGTCTAGACGACAGGCAGCAGCAAAGTCAACAAGCTCAGCAACTAAGGCAGACGTAGCAGCAGATTCAAACGACGGGTCAGTGACAATAGTGGCTAGCAGACGCGTGACAGTAGGGTGCCCAGCACGAAACCGGTCAGACTCGGGGTCCGCAACGACAGGCAGAGAAGACGCAGGAGGGGACGGCAGAGGAACACGCTGTGGAGGAGAGGAAGGACGACGGACTACGAGGTGGGTGTCGGGGACAGCCGGCAGACGCGAACGAGGAACACGACGACCGGAACGACCAGAACAGACAGGCGAGACAGGACGCGACGCAGGCTCACGACACTCAGTAAGACTCCCTAGCTGCTCAGTGTAAGGAGAAGGAGCAGGCAGCGGTGAGCAAGGCTGTAACGGAAGACCAGTAGACGAAGGGAGACTAAGAACCTGGCGAAGCACAGAGTCAGGCGGTGGCTGAGACGACGGAGACGGTGGAGCGAAGAACAGGCGCGGCTGTGCAGTGACACAAGCACCAGCAGCTCCAGTACCCCCAGCAGCTCCAGCACCTCCAGCAGCTCCAGAACCTCCAGCGCCAGCACCCTCAGCAGCTCCAGAACCTCCAGCTCCAGCGCCACCAGCGCCAGTACCTCCAGCAGCTACAGAACCTCCAGTGCCAGCACCCTCAGCAGCTCCAGATCCTCCAGCTCCAGCGCCACCAGCGCCAGCACCTCCAGCAGCTCCAGAACCCTCAGCGCCAGCACCCTCAGCAGCTCCAGAACCTCCAGCTCCAGCGCCACCAGCGCCAGCACCGCCAGCAGCTCCAGAACCCTCAGCGCCAGCTCCTCCAGGACCAGCTCCACCAACAGCAGCACCCCCCGAACCGGCACCTCCAGTCCCAGGGTCTCCAGCAGCAGCACCCTCAGGCTCAGCACCTCCAGCCCCAACAGCTCCAGTACCTCCAGTACGAGCACCTCCGGGACCAGCACCACTCCCAGCTCCAGTGACGTCAGCAGAAGTACCTCGAGCGGCAGAGCCCCGAGCTCCAGAAGCGCGACCCTGACGGCGACCGTACCAGTCGTGCAGCTGCTGCGAGGTGAGAGGCACACGCGGACGAAGGCGGCTACTCCAAGGAAGCTGCGCAACAGCAGACTCAGAACCCTCAGCACCAGAACCCGCAGCAGCTCCAGAACCTCCAGCGCCAGCACCCTCAGCAGCTCCAGAACCTCCAGCTCCAGCGCCACCAGCGCCAGTACCTCCAGCAGCTCCAGAACCTCCAGCGCCAGCACCCTCAGCAGCTCCAGAACCTCCAGCAGAAACAACTCCAGTGGCAGAGTCACCAGCTCCAGCGCCTCCCGCAGCAGGGCCCCTAGCTCCAGCAGCGCGACCCTGACGGCCAGCGTACCACTCAAGCAGCTGCTGTGGGGAGAGAGGGAGTCGACGACGAGAGTGCAGCGGCGAGGCACCAGCGGAGCGACTACGGAGACGGCCGCTCCAGAGAGACTGCTCACCAGACGCCTCAGCGCCCCCAGGCTCAGCACCCCCAGACTCCTCACACCCAGGCCCAGCACCTCCAGTCTCCGCACCCCCAGGCTCCGCACCTCCAGGCTCAGCACCCTCAGGCTCCGCACCCCCAGGCTCAGCACCCCCAGGCTCCGCACCCCCAGGCTCAGCACCCTCAGAAGCAGCACCCCGAGCAGGACCACCCTCAGCAGGACCTGAGTCACCAGTGACCTCAACCGTCTCAGTCAAGGGAGGAGGGTCTACCTGAGACACACCTGAAGGAGCAGGACCGGGAGCGGGGAGGGGGTCTACCTGGGGAGCACCTGGAGCGAGGAAGAGCGGCGGGGGGGGGGGGAGGGGCAGTGCGGTAGGGGAAGAGACGGTAAAAGGGAACCGACTCGTCGAACGTGACGTCCTGAGAGGGGAAGACACGGCGCGAGGTGGGGTGGTAGAACTGCCAACCAGGCGCGTCAGGGACAAAGCCAAGGAAGACACAGGGAACAGCGCGGGCGGAGAGCTTGTCCGCGGTGGTATCGCGGACAAAGGCACGAGCACCCCAGACCCGGAAACGCGACGCATCGCCAACCTTCCACGTCCACAGCAGTGTGGGCGAGGTCTCCGGCAAGGAGACACGGGGCCAGAGGTTGAGCTGATGCGCTGCGTACTGGACCGCAAACGGCCACAGAAAATGGGGGGCAGCCGCATAGACCATGGAGGTACGAGCGACCTCCATGACTAAGCCAATGCGGCGCTCAGCAACCCCATTCTGCTGCGGAGAGGCCGGAAGCGTGAACGTCTGGCGGATGCCGTGCTCCGCACAGTAGGCTGCCAAGAGGTCTGAGGAGAACTCACCACCTCTGTCAGAGTGCAGACGCAGGACAGGAAAGTGCGACTGGAACCGCTCGCGGAGCTGGAGACGAGTAGCGCAGATCCAGGGGATCAAAACATCAGGGACCTCCCCCTTGCTGCGCAAGGGGAAGACCGTGGTGTAACGCGTGTAGTCGTCGACGACCAGCAGGAAGTACCGCTCGTGGCCCTGTCCACGGACGCGGGCTGGGCCCCACACGTCCAGGTGGAGAGTCTGCAGGGGAGCCTCTGTGGGAGGGAACGAGGAGGAGTGAGGAGCGGCGCGCTGCCGCCCCTCGACACAGGGAAGACAGGGAGGAGCAGGCGAGGGTGGGAGGGGAGGGAGAACCCTGGGAAGACCAGAGACAAGGACCCGGCAGTGCATGCTGCGAAGGCGTTGCACCGAGGGGTGACCAAGGCGGTGGTGCCAAAGGACCGTCTGGTGCGACAAGGCGCGACACGAGCAGGGGGCCGACAACTGACCTGACGCAGACGCAGACGCAGCTACCTGAGGGGACTCAGTGGTCAGTGTGTACAGGCCCGACCCAGGCTGCCGAGTGAAAGTAGCCAGGTGACGACCCGTCTGAGCACACGTGCAGTGTGTCACACGCTCGTAGGCAGGGGTGAACTGGTGAACACCCGCGTCCTGGAGCGCAGAACCCGCCATCAAGTTCGTAGAGAACGAGGGGAGGTAAAGACCCGACAGTGTGCCGGACGGGACAGCAGGACAAGGGAGGACAGTGGAGGAGGTCGCACGGACTGGACCCCCAGAGGGGTCTGCCAGGGAGAATGGAACCGGCCGACTGAGCGGCGTGAGGGTGGTGCTGTCGCGAAAGAAGGAGCGAGAAGCACCAGAGTCAAGTGTGAAGGTGTACAAGGCCTCAGCAGGCGCAGTACCAGAGAGAGCAGACTCACCAGCACCTGGAGCGGCAGGCTCTATACCTGGGTCAGGCGGTACGCACAGGTAACAGGCACGGTCAGCACTAGTAGGCAATGCATACATGGCAGTGAGAATAGCATCATAGTCAAGAGCAAATATATCTACCCTCCGCCCAAGCAGCTCCACCCAGTCGGGGAGCTCAGCCTCGTCGCCAAACTCGGTACGCCAGGCGTCACTCAGACGGGCGAAGCAGCGGGACTGTGTGTGACCAAGCGTCCCGCAAGCCTGACCAGTCCGATCACCTGTGCGAATGACGTACGGGCAGCAAACGGTACTCAAAGACCCTCTACTCTGAGCGTACCACTCGTGAAGCTGCCGGGGCGTAAGTGTCTCGCGTGGACGCCGCTGCAGCTGCAGCTGGCCACTGCCAGACGCTCCCAACTGATTAGCTCCAGGGCGACAGCTACGACGGGTACCGCGACAACCCCAACTAGCGTACCACTCACTAAGCTGCTGGGGCGTGAGAGACTCGCGCGGACTTCGCTGGAGCTGCATCTGGCCACAGCCAGTAGCAGCAGTAGGAGTAGTAGCAGCAGTAGCAGCAGTAACAGCAGTAGCAGTAGTAGTAGCAGCAGCAGCGCGTGCAGGGCAGGCGCGGCAGGCAGGTAGGCAGGCAGGCCGGCAGGCAGGCAGGCAGGCAGGCAGGCAGGCAGGCAGGCAGGCAGGCAGGCAGGCAGGGAGATGGCGCGGTAGCGTGCAAACAAGGCAGGTGCTCACCAGTGGCGGGAAGAGAAGGCGCTCGCCGGGCGAGCAGGGCCGGCGCTCGGCGGGCGGCTGCACGGGGTCCAGGGGCGGCGTCGCGGGTCCAGGGGCGGCTGCACGGAGTCCAGGGGCGGCTGCACCAGGGGCGGCTGCTGCAGGGGCCAGGGGCGGCTGCTCTGGGTCCTGGGGCGGCTGCTCCAGGGGCGGCTGCTGCAGGGGCCAGGGGCGGCTGCTCTGGGTCCAGGGGCGGCTGCTCGAGGGCCCAGGGGCGGCTGCTCCAGGGGCGGCTGCTTCAGGGGCCAGGGGCGGCTGCTCGGGGTCCAGGGGCGGCTGCTCCAGGGGCGGCTGCTGCAGGGGCCAGGGGCGGCTGCTCTGGGTCCAGGGGCGGCTGCACGGAGTCCAGGGGCGGCTGCACCAGGGGCGGCTGCTTCAGGGGCCAGGGGCGGCTGCTCTGGGTCCAGGGGCGGCTGCACCAGGGGCGGCTGCTTCAGGGGCCAGGGGCGGCTGCTCTGGGTCCAGGGGCGGCTGCACCAGGGGCGGCTGCTTCAGGGGCCAGGGGCGGCTGCTCGGGGTCCAGGGGCGGCTGCTCCAGGGGCGGCTGCTGCAGGGGCCGTGGGCGGCTGCTCTGGGTCCAGGGGCGGCGCTCGAGGGTCCAGGGGCGGCTGCACCAGGGGCGGCTGCTTCAGGGGCCAGGGGCGGCTGTTCTGGGTCCAGGGGCGGCTGCTCCAGGGGCGGCGTAGCTGGTGCAGGGCAGCGCGCGGGTCCCACAGGCGCCGTGACGGGCGACGGGGGGCAGCGCGCCGTCACTGGAGGAGGCGACGCGCGGGGCCGGCGGCAGGCTAAAAACGGCGGCAGGCTAAAAACGGCGGACGCGGCGCGCAGGGCCTAAGCGGGCTGCGCGCGGGCGGCTCACGCGACGCGCGGGCCGGCGGCAGGCTGCGCGGGCGGCTGACGTGGCGCGCGGGGCCGAAAACAGGCCTAAACGGGCCTAAAGGGCTGCGCGCGGGCTGCTTAAGAGGCGCGCGCGGAAAAAAAAAAGTGACGCGCGCAAGCAGCCGAGGCGCGCGCGCGGTCAGCAGGCAGGGCAGGCAGGCAGGCAATGAGGCTGTAGGTGAGGTAACTCAGTTAAAGGTGGGCCCTATTCTTAGGTCCTAGAGACCTTAGTGCTCTAGATGCCATGTCAAGACTTAGGCAAGGATGGGTTCAACTATCGAGAGAGTTTTACAAGTAGGAAAACCCTAAGGGGTTATACCCCACAGAATCTACCCCACTACAGCCTACCAATAACTACAACATATAATATATATATGTTTGACACTTCGCCCCTTCCAACTGCTACCCCATCTGTGAGTGTGAATACCCCATGTCCCCTATTTACTTAGGCGATATATGCACTTGTTGTCAGCAATACTTATGGCATGTGTGCACTTGATTGTGTCAGCAAAGTAAACTCTCATGAAAGCATCAAGCCGTAACCTGCGCCCTCATTTCTCGCCCTCGCCTCACTCGCTGCACCCAAGTATCAATTCGGGAGCCCTTTCGCCCTCTTTCCATCTCTCCCTCTCCTGCTACTTCTACCTCGCCCCCCCTCTCGTTCAGACAGCCCCTTTTCTTTTGTTTTCATTCATCTTCATAATCCCCTCTCATGTCCCCCCCTCCTTCCCCTCTGCAGACAACGGCACCACCGTGACGGAGCAGCAGGCCATCCCCGCAAACCTCGCGTCAGGCCCTGACCTCTGCCTCTCCTGCTACGTCTACCTCACCTTCTCCTTCCTCGACGTTGACACGGCCAGCCAGATTGGCAGTGAATGCACAGAGACGGACAATGGGAAGCTTCGCGGATACATCTGCTCCACGGACGAGGGAGCTGACGTCACGGTGGCGCAGGCGTTTGGGAGTCCGCCGGTGGTGAATGGCGGCGGGACGTCGGTGGGGTTTCTCTACACGGAGATGTTTGTGCGCCAGCCCGCTGGCTCCACCATGCGCCTCCCCTCCGTCCGTGTCGATCCCCTGTGAGTATAAACTATGGGCCTCTTATTGTGTGAGTCTGTGTGTGGATCCCTTGCAAGTTCTCTGCGAGTTCTTCTTGCTTGGTGATGTCAACTATGCCCTGTGGTTCCTGCTTTGATGTGAATCAGAGTTCCTTTCGTGTCTCCATGTGTGCATGTATCCCAACAGGGCCATGAAGGGAATCGGGTACATCATGGTGCCATCCAAGGGACCCGCTCCTCTCCCTGGGACCTTTGACGCCATGCCCTTTATCGCAGGCAATGACAGCAAGGTGAGGGACTCTTAAGGGCTCAACGCAAGCAACTGACTCCGCAGAAAATGTCTGTAGGTGCAAAAGGGGCACTCTGGAGAGCTCAATGCGGTCAATTCAGAAGCAACAGGCTGCTAACTCACAAGCACTCTAATCTCAACGCATTTCTGTTGCCGGTGTCACTGACATCTATCATTTTGCTCGTTCTATCCCCTCAATTCCACTCAATAACCTGCACACTCGCATTACCATGCGCCCTCCTGTCTTTCCCCCATGCCCCTCCAGTCCGTCGGTGTCGGACTAGTGTTCCCAATTACCCTGATGACTCAGGCGTCGCTCGCAACTACCCCGTTCAGCAGCAACACAGTGCAGACAGTCGCACCCACCGCCTTCCCTGGCCTCTCCATGAGCGCTCCGGCCAACCAGTCGCTCACTCTCAATGCCACCATCATTCCCCCGGCTGCCGCTGGTGCTGCTGCTGGTGCTGCTCCGTCCTCATACAACATCTCCCTCTACATCAGCAAGGACGCGCTCCCGGTACGTCTTTCTCTCTCTCGAGGTGAGTTCTGAGTCGACTCAAAAGTTACCTTGCTGCTGGTGCTGCTCCCTCTTCGTACAACATCTCCCTCTTCATCAGCAAGGACGCGCTCCCGGTAGGTCTCACCAATGTCTTAAGTGTGTCCCGTTGTTTCCTCTTGTAGGCTGTTGCTGACCTGTTACGGTATCTTGTTTCGTGTGCTTTTCTGCTCGTTTGTGTGCAGAAATCCACTGTCAGGGCAATTGCTGGCTGGGGTGTAACCCTGATGTCGGTGATGTTCGCTCTCCTCACCGTAATGCCAGTCCTATAGTTTCATGGCTGACCAGTTCTCATGTAGGTTGATGTACTACATGCAACATGCTGGTTATGCAGGATGAGCGGTCTATGCGAGTTTTTTTAAGCCAGCTGTTGTTCCATGATTGGAGTATCTGGTCAGGCAGGGTGATAGCTCATGTGCATGCTCTGTTGTCACATATGCTATGTGACAAAGAAGGATCCTTGTTAACAATCTGGAACCAACCATTCCAGCAGACCAAAGAGAATCCAAGGAAATTCTAGAAGCACCTACTACTGTGACTTGCACCTTTATATTTATTTTTCCCTTCTTACGAGCTGATTTTTTCCCGGATCCATCTCAGCAGAGACCAGCACACGGACGAAACCCCAGCAGCAGCACCGCTAGCCCAAGCGCCTGCTGCAGAGGCAGAGTGACAAGCAGGTTCACCAGCACCCCTGCCAGCACCACACCCTTCAAACGCGTCTCCATAACCTGCTAACGCAGAACTGATTGCAGATACTATCAATATTAACAGAATTAAGCAGACCGAAGATAATCCCAGGACCTACTAACTTGCACCTCCACTACTTGCCCTCCTTATGAACTGATTTTTTTCCGGATCCATCTGAGCAGCGACCAGCACACAGACGAGAACCCCAGCAGCAGCACTGCCAGTCCCAACGCCTGCTGCAGCGGCAGCGTCACAAGCAGGTTCACCAGCACCCCGGCCAGCACCACACCTGCCAGATTCGCAGTCAGCGCCTCCCAAAACGGCATCCCGAGAATGTACGCGCCGATCGCCCCCGACCATGCTCCGGTGCCGGGCAGGGGGACGGCGACGAAGAGAGCGAGGCCGAGCCACTGGAACTCGGCGATGGGAGCGGCCTTGGCGCGGGAGTGTTCCAGGAAGGAGTTGAGGAGGGCTTTCAGGGAAGGGTTGATGCGGGCGAGAGTGGTGGTGGCTGGGCCGAGGAGGGTTAAGAGAAACGGCACTGGCACCATGTTGCTGCGGTGCGGGTGGTAGGGGGGGGAACGGGAGAGATTAAGGAGCTTGGGATAATGAGGCTGAAAGAAGGGGGAGAAGGAGGGGCTAGCATGGTGCTGACAAAAAGGGACATGTTCTCCAAGCAGGTCTGCCCTGTTTTGCTAGTGCTGACCAATGAGTTGTGTAAGTATTGATGCATTTCTATCTTTGATCATGATTTCGCAGCTCACCCGAGGACGGCGAGTGAGGAAGCTACTAACGGCTCCATGCCCATCCAGTAGGCGACAGGTATGGCGCCTCTTAACTCCACCACCGGCAGCGCCGCGATGAACGTCACGATCGCCGCATCGGGCCAATGCGACGCGCGCAGAGCCGCCGCGACGCGCAACCCAAGACCCGACTTGGCTGTGGATGTCGCCGCGCCAGCCGCGGCGCCACTTGCGGCGGTTGTTGCGGCGGAGGGGTCGGCGGCTAGTGCGGGGAAGGGGGAGACGAGGGAGAGGACGAGCGGAAAAAGCGCCGCGGCGGCGACGAGGAGGATCGCGGGAAGGGCGGAAGGCAGCGGCGGAAGCGGAAGGCGGGAGTTCGAGGGGGCATTCCGATGTCTTTGCGAGAAACGCGGGGGCGCAGCGTCAACACTGTTGGAGGCGGAGGTATGAAGCGGGACGCTCTCTGAAAGTGAGATTTCATTGCCAGCGATCGCGCCGTTTCTGTCTGGAAAGGCGGCCGCAGCAGCGGAGGAGGGTACTACGGGCGTGACTAGTCTTCTTGCAAAAAGCGAGGCTTGACTTTGTGGCTGACGTGTCGACTGGAGCCGTTTACACGGAACGAGCGCGCGGCGGGGAGTTGAGCGGTATTGCCGCGCAGACGACGAATTGGATGATGCGCATTGGGAGGAAAGCGAAGATGCAGCAAGCGATCTTGTCCCTAGCGCAATTGCCGCCATGCTTGCTGAGTCTATGCCGCGTCTGGTCAGCAGCTGCCTCCCCTACGTGCGAGAGCAGTGATTCTGAAGTAATGGTTGGTGTGGGGAGGGAGGGAGTTGCCCCTTCTAAAATGAGCGGTGTGAGTTGGGGAGGCAGGACAACGCAATACGAGTTTACCTCAAAACCCTACCCAAACGCTGTTTTTTGAAACGAAGCCACAATCAAACGCCTACAACCTTACGAAACTGCAGTAAACTAAATTTGTAAGGTTGGGATTGCACTTCTGCAGTGAGAGGCAACTGCAAGGCGAACGTCGCTACTAGCGAAACGGAATTCCACAACCGTGGTTACCCGCTTCTTCCATTGATTCTTCGTAATAACTTCTACGTTCTGGGAGTGTAACGTACGTGCTTGTATTTCTGCGAAGACTGTGTACAAGGGAGTCAAAACTTCCTAGATTCCGAGCCCTGGAATGCCTTCTCCCTCACCGTCTAGTCCACAGATCGTATCATAGATTCATAGTAGTCACCAGAGACTAGATGCTTTTCGCTCGTTGCATAAGAGGCGTCCCACGGACATAAATCGCACGCCGTCACATCAACGAAAGAATCCCGTCGCTCCTGCTTTTTTTCCCCAGCGCTTTGTCCCCTACTTCCTGTTATCCATCATTCATCGAGGTCGCCCTTAAATCCTGGCGGGTACCCTATAGCGTCACATTCACGCTGCGCCAGTGTGGCTGCACTCGTCTTTTCTGAACAGCAAAATCGAAGTCTCTGAAAGAAGCTCTACAGAAACATTTACAACCAGCGCAGTAAACGGTCGAGCGGCGATGGTGCTACTCCTCATCTCCATCCGATGCGAGCTAGAGAATCTAACCAACCTGCGGCCCGGGTCAGATGACTTCACATACTACATGAAACTCAGGTGCGCTCTCCTCGGTCTCGGGACTAAGCACATGTTATCGACAAAATGTCGCGCATGGCGGTCAAGTGAAACCCTCCAAAGTCCTGGTTAGCTTTTATCTGGGCCCATTACGTTCTCGGGGAATTCGTTTTTCGCATTTCTTTTAAACGAACCACCTTTGCTCACCGTATGAAGGCTAGGTCATTCGGGTACCTTTACAAGGCTTATGTGTTGCGGAGGAACAACAAGGATTCGTAGTTCTCAAATTCAGCAGCGGTCGCCCATTGACAAGGCAGAGAAGGCTGCTGACGCCAGCCTCACGTTGTTGTATTTCAAGGAGAGGCGTGTTCCATGCCAGAGATGGTACTTGGAGGCCAGTTAAACCTTGAAGTCCTATTATTTGACCCTATTTTCTGTTATTGGTTTTCAGATGTTCCTGCGGGGAAGTGAGTGAGAAAGAGTCGTCGGTGACTAAAGGGGAGGAGTACGAGATGAAGGGCAGCCGAGGCACTGCCAATCTCGTTCAGAAGGTAACAGACGATACTTCCTGTTTGTTCCTCCCTAGCATCGTGCACTGAGGATTATAATCAGACACTCAGTCAAGAGTTGTTGGAAGCCTGTTTCGATGTTCTAGATATGTTTAAGCGATACAAGTCATGTCCATTGTGCATTTCCCCTCTTTTCCATCTCTTGCTGCCCCTCAACCCGTTCGCACATCTCGTCCTCTCCTCCCCATTGTGCGCACCTACAGTGTAATTTCTGCAGCCGCGTGGGCTCTATTTCATTGGTAGAAGGGCATGGTAAACCGTTTACGGCAGAAGATTGTGAGAACAGGAAGTTCGTCCCTCTAGTATGCCTGGACTGCAGAGGAATGGAGCCGGTGGAATACATTCCCAAGGACGGCTGGCAGGCGGAGGGGGCCGAGTCTGGTACCAAGTTTGAAGACATTGACTTGAGCGATCAAGAGTTTTCAGATTATGACGAGAAGGCAGGAGAGTCGGTAAGCATTCTCAACATTGAGTCTCAAATAAAGGTGACAAAGAAGTAGATTCAAGAGCAAGCCGGTCCCGAATAGTTCACGAACCTTGGCTTGTTAGGCATCTGGCTGATAAGTTGGTGAAATTCTGTGTCTGTAGATGCTGCAAGTAATACGAAAGTGGGATCAAAACAATGTGTACCGTAATGACCTTGGCATGTACGGTACGTTTTTTTTTATCAGTCTATTGTGTTCTGTTCTGCCGCGTTTGTGATCAAATGCAGACTGCTTTCTCACGCGGACAGACTGTTGTTGAGGCGCAAATGGCCGTGCTGTCCATGCCATCACTCTCTGACAAGACAACAGTTTTTTCCCGTTTCGGTGTGAGGAAAGTCAAGAACCATGGGAAGGCTAAATATTTAGCCAATTTGCTAATCTGTTATGATTTAATAGAAAAGCGTTTTGAAAAGAAACGTTCGTTTATGCCTTTTTAGCTGCCCGTTATCCACCTTGAATGCGGTTCCGCATTTCGGCTTTCGTGTTGCTGCAGCAATTCCTCCTCAACCAAAGGTCCCATTCCATCCCATCAGCCGAGTCGAGACCAGGTCGGAGCCGCCATGGTATCCATGCATAGTGGCTGGTCCAGTGGTCTTGACTGACAGATGTCTTCATCGCCTTTCATCTGGTTTCACCTTTTCATCGCCCATTTTGCAGATTCTCTCCGCATTGTCCCCTTTATGTTTCCTCCACTGCCTGGCGGCAAATCCTTGTAAATCACACATGGAGATCTCTGCTGGAGGGTGTTCGTGAAGGCAACGGAGGTTCTCGCCCATCTTTATGAACCTCCGTGTTCTTTGTGACCTATGAGAGGGCTTTCCGGAATCAGCGTTAATTAATTACGGATACGAAGCTCATTTCAATAATTGGCGCTGCTCTGAAGGCCTGCATTTTTGCCGTGACGGCCACTGCCGTCCACTGCTGTCGCGGTTATCTATACTCCACTGGGTTTGCCGTAACGGCGTTTCTATAAGACTGAATCCGCATTGCTCGTTAAGATGCAGCCTCGCCACTTCCTCCTTCTCCACCTCCTCCTCCTCCCCCTCATCTTCGCCGCACAATGCGGCGTTCCTCTGCCGGCGCAGTCCGCCGCAATCACCGGCGCAATGGACCCGCTGCGGGAGGGGTTTGATTGGCTGATGCACGAGCTCGGCGGAGCGGAAGCGGACGAGTTTGCGCCGGGGGGAGGAGACGCCGCAGGCGCGGGGAGCGCTGCGCCGATGGACGGAAGCATCGAGGCGTCGCTGGAGGAGTCCGGGTTCGCGGAGCTGCTGACGTGGCTGCGCGAGAACGGCGCGGAAGGAGACGCGCTGACCGGAAAAAACCTCAAGGTGAACAATTTAGCGATCATTCAATGAAACTTAAATTAAAGGTAATGATTCCGCAACCATCAATGCGACATTGTCAAACATGAATATGCGACCATCGGTAATATATTGAACTCGAAAAGATCTTACAGATCGATAATAAAATTCCACGTTTCGTTTGTTTGTTTGTTTGTTTGTTTGTTTTTTTTTGGGCTTTTGGCTTTTGGCTTTTGCGATGAACATTGAGATGGAATGTTGATAGAATATTCCCTCCTTAGCGGATATTTTTCCGGCATGCGCTGGCATGGGTTGTGCAGTCTTTCGTGTAGATAAATCCCGTCTATATACCATTGATTGAGAATGAGAGCGTTATTAAAAATGCAGGGTGTGTACTAAGGCATATGCTAGCACGGACCATGCCAGCCATGTCCAAGATTTCTACGTACGAGTCTACAATGCTGAAATTTCTTGTGACGCATTCACGGTTTACATCTCGAATTTCCCGTTTCTTCGTGCTAGATTTTTTCCACGCACAGCTTTGCTGCTAGGACAGTTTTTTTGCAGTGAGCAATGAAATTGTTTATCAAATTAAATGCTCTTAAAATGGTGTGAACGAACGTCTGTACGTTGTCTATTAAGCATCTACCTTTTTCGATTGTTCCTATTGTGCCCGTACAACCCAACCTTGCAGCTGAAGGTATATAAAGTGGAGATTCCAGACGACTCTGGCTCGAACAACACGACTGAAGAGTCTGGGATTAAGGAGGTGGGGGATGGTGCGACGGAAGAGAAGGAGGTGAAGGAGAAGGAGAAAAAGAAAGTGGAGAAAAAGAAAGTAGTGAAGAAAAAAGTGGTGAAGAAGAAAGCGTATGATGACTATTATGATGACGACGATGAGGAAGAAGAAGAGGAGGAGGAGGAGATGGAGGAGGAGGAAGACGAGGAGAAGAGCGGAGACGCAGCAGGCGGTGAAAATGAGAAGACGAAGAAGTTCCGGTGAGTAGAAGGTCTGGATTTTGGTTTCTGAGTTCTGGGCCTTACAATAAAGGAGTCAGGGTTCTGGGTTCTGGGCTGATGCTTAGGGTTAGGTTTCGGGTTCAGGATTCAGGATGGCGGGTTGTTGTTTTGTAGTCGTTGCGTGGAGATAGTACCCCTCTTTGTGCTGTCTATCAATCGCCGCGTGTGACTGCGTGGGGTACAGTCTCGGATGCAGCCCCCGATGCAGCCTCGGGTGCAAATTTACGTTTTTTAAAGGCACATGTCCCTCGCTTTGCCTAGAAGGACCAGCAGCCGGCCTCACATGCCCAGTTGCTGCTTGTGGGATGCCTCGCAACTTCAGCAACTCAACTCCTTCAATTCATCTCCTCACTTCGCTTTTCCCTTACCCTTCCCCTTCTCCTCCCCTCCCCCCCCCCCGCCCCCCCCCAGGTTCTTCCCGCAGCTGCTAGCAGCAGCGCCCATATGCGCGGGGCAGCTGCTGCTGCGCCTGCCGGTTCCGCTGCTGCTCAATTCCTCGCGCTGCTCCGCGCCCTCCCCCCGCCTCCCCCTTCCCCCGCGCCTCCCCCTCTCCCCCGAAGGCGACCTTGCCGCCTGCCTGCTGCTGCTGCAGCAACAGGGGGAGGGGGGCGAGCCGGAAAAGGGAGTGGCGGAGGGAGAGGGGGAAGCTGCGGGGGAGGGGGAGGGGGAGGGGAAGAGCGCGGGGGAAAGCGAGGGGGCGCGGGTGGCGCCTGCTCTGCTGCCGGCGATGCTCGCGTCCCGCACGGCCCACCTGCTGCCCATGCTCAGAAACGACCTCCCCCACCTGCCCCTCCTCCACCAGGTCCGCCCTCCCCCTCGCCCTCCCCCTCCGCCTCACACTCGCCCTTCCCCTCGCCCTCCCCTTCGCTCTCTTCCTCCCCCTGGCCCTCTTTGTTCCCTAAGCTCCCCTCACCTCCCCCACTTCCCAAGTTCTTCCTCCCTGTTTCCCTCTCCCGTCGCTCTCCCCAATCCACCCACCCAACCAAACTCCTAGCCTTTGGCCCAGAACCTCCTCTACTATCATGTGGTCACTTTTGAGAAGAGTTTTGACGCGCCTCAAGAACCCTCCTCTACTAGGATGTGGTCACCTTTGAGAATTCTCAAACGGCCACAACCCCCCTATTCCCCTCTTCAGCTGCCCGCCCACCTTATTATTTTCTCCCAGTATCGACTGGTGTTTTTGACAGTTCTTTGTAATCGTCTCCACTCCGCCTGTTTTTTTCTTCCATAATCTTCTGCTCCTCGCTGCACCTCACTGCACCTCGCTGCGCCTCAAACCACCTCGCGCACCTCATTGCACTGCGCTCTCAGTCTGTTGTATCTCCTTCCTCCCTCTCGCCCTCCCACTTCCACTTCTCTCTTTTCCTTCGACTACTCTGCTTCGCCCTCCCTGCTTCGCCCTCCCTGCTTCGCCCTCCCTGCTTCGCCCTCCCTGCTTCGCCCTCCCTGCTTCTCCCTCCCTGCTTCGGCCTTCCCCTCTTGCCCTCTCTGCATCGCCCTGCCCGCTTCTTTCTGCCCCTTTCGCCCTCTCTGCGTCTTCCTGCCGCTTGTCTTGCCAGGCATTGGCCCAGAGGCAGCAGTACGAGCAGGAGTATGCCAACTGGACCGCCACCATCACCGCCATTAGCAGCAGCAGCGCCGTGTCGCTGCCGTCGCTGCAGCAGTTTCTGGCGACGGTGGCGGCCGTGAGGGCGCTGGCTCTGCCCATGCGCCTGCCGCCTTCTCAGGATGACCATGGGGAGGGGGAGGAGCAGGGGGGGGGCAGGGGGAAGAAGGGCGGGAAGAAGGGCGGAAGGAGGGGAGGGAAGGGGCGGAAGAAGCAGAAGCAGCGGCGGTTTGAGCTGACGGTGGTGCCTCTCGTGAATGCTGTTGCGCGCGCGAATGAGAGGAACCAAGGGAACGTGCGATGGGAGGTGAGAGGCTGTCTGAACACTGGCAAGCTGCAATGGCAGGCTGGGTGGGTGGTGTGGTGTGGACCCTACATAGTTGAGATGTTACCATTGCAGCCCCCTTCGAAATCCCTTTCACTCCTATCCCCCCCATCCCCATTTCCCAACCCCCCTTCTCTCCCCGCATCCCCAGCTCACCCATCGGGGTTCCACCTGAGGGTGTCCGCCTTCCCTTCTCCCTTATATTCCCTTTATCCCCACCCTCCCCCGCTCTCTCCCCTCCCCCCCAGCTGACCCACTCGGGGTTCCACCTGAGGGCGTCAGAAGCCATTCCCACCGGGGCTGCTCTCGTGCTGCCTCTCAACGGCGGCCTGCCCGACCCGCTGCAAGCAGCAGCAACACATGCAGGGGCGCAGGGGACAGCAGCAGATTGGGAGAGCGAGGAGGAGGATGGGGAGGGAGGAGTGCACTTGACATCATTGGGGGAGGTGGAGGAAGCTGACAGCCACGTGTCGCCGGCCACGCTGCTATCGAACGACGATGCTTTCCTCTCCCTCGGGATCATCTCCGCCTGCTCCTCCTTCGACCGCGTCCAGGTCGGTACTGAGCGGTGCAGGCCGGTACTGAGCGGTCGAGGTAGGTTTGGAGTGGTGCAGGTACTATACCCCTGTTAGGCTAGGCCCACTTCCCCCGGTTCCCTACATTTAATCCACTTTCCCTCGTTTCCCCCCACTTGCACCAACCTGCGCCTGCTCTTCCCGTCGTACGATGCACTCACTCAGCGCGCTCTCCTCAGCACATCCTCATCCGCCTCTCCCTCTGTCTCTTCCTCTTCGTGTGTGATAAGTCGATTTTTGAGTCGACTCAATAATCGACTCTTCCCATCGTACAATGCACTCGCTCAGCGCGCTCTCCTCAGCCCATCCTCATCCGCCTCTCCCTCTGTCTCTTCCTCTTCGTGTGTGATAAGTCGATTTTTGAGTCGACTCAATAATCGACTCTTCCCATCGTACAATGCACTCACTCAGCGCGCTCTCCTCAGCACATCCTCATCCGCCTCTCCCTCTGTCTCTTCCTCTTCGTGTGTGATAAGTCGATTTTTGAGTCGACTCAATAATCGACTCTTCCCATCGTACAATGCACTCGCTCAGCGCGCTCTCCTCAGCCCATCCTCATCCGCCTCTCCCTCTGTCTCTTCCTCTTCGTGTGTGATAAGTCGATTTTTGAGTCGACTCAATAATCGACTCTTCCCATCGTACAATGCACTCACTCAGCGCGCTCTCCTCAGCACATCCTCATCCGCCTCTCCCTCTGTCTCTTCCTCTTCGTGTGTGATAAGTCGATTTTTGAGTCGACTCAATAATCGACTCTTCCCATCGTACGATGCACTCACTCAGCGCGCTCTCCTCAGCACATCCTCATCCGCCTCTCCCTCTGTCTCTTCCTCTTCGTGTGTGATAAGTCGATTTTTGAGTCGACTCAATAATCGACTCTTCCCATCGTACGATGCACTCACTCAGCGCGCTCTCCTCAGCACATCCTCATCCGCCTCTCCCTCTGTCTCTTCCTCTTCGTGTGTGATAAGTCGATTTTTGAGTCGACTCAATAATCGACTCTTCCCATCGTACAATGCACTCGCTCAGCGCGCTCTCCTCAGCCCATCCTCATCCGCCTCTCCCTCTGTCTCTTCCTCTTCTTCAGCCTCCTCTTCCTCTTTTATTTTCAAATGTTGGTCCCCCCATATGATGTCCGTGCAGGCACTTTGTTGATTACCTCCTCCTGAAGGAGGTGCGCAAGGGAGAATGCGATGACACTCACACCCCCCCTGAACCCCTTCCCACTGCTCTCTCTCCCCCCCTCTCTTCCCCCCCTCTCTTCCCCCCCTCTCCCTTTTCTCTACCCTTTCACCTACCCCCCCTCTCCCCCCTCCCTCCCCTACTTTGCATCAGCTCTACCCCTCGTACGATGCCCTCACTCAGAGCGTCCTCACAGCAGCGCACGTGAACCCCGACTTCAAGCCATCCGCCTTCATGCAACTGGCTGATCGCGTGCGCACAGCACTGCTCAAGGAGGTGCTGTGGTGGGGGTTAGAAGGAGATGGCACTCACAACCCCCTGAACCCCTCCTCACCCCTTTCTTCTCTCCCCCCCTCTTCCGACCCCTCTCCCCACCCTCTACCCTTTCTCCTTTTCCCACCCGCTTCAGCTGTACCCCTCGTACGATGCACTCACCCAGAGCGTCCTCAGTGCAGCGCACGTGAACCCCGACTTCAAGCCATCCGCCTTCATTAAGCTGGCTGACCGCGTGCGCACAGCGCTGCTCAAGGAGGTGCTGTGGTGGGGGGAGGGAGGAAATGGCACGCACACCCACACCCCACCCACCCCCCTCTCTCCCCTCTCTCTTCCCTCCCTCTCCCCCCCTTCTCTTTCCACCCACCCTACTCCCCTCCCCTTTCCCCCGCATCAGCTCTACCCCTCGTACGATGCACTCACCCAGAGCGTCCTCAGTGCAGCGCACGTGAACCCCGACTTCAAGCCATCCGCCTTCATGAAGCTGGCTGACCGCGTGCGCACAGCGCTGCTCAAGGAGGTGCGCGGGGTGAAGCAGTCTGTGCTGTCCACCCTCGTGCGGGAAAAGCTGCTCGGTGCCGCTGTGAAGGCCGAGAGCGGCCGCGGCGCGGGAGGGAGAGGCGGAAGCAGGGAGAGAGGAGGAGGGGTGAAGGGAGGAGGGAAGGGGGTGGTGGGTGGAAAGGGAGAGGGGGCTGGGAAGGAGGAGGAGGGGTGTGGAGGGGGCGTGGTGGATCAGCTGTTGTTCTGGGAGAGGCGTCGGGCCATGCGGCAGCGGTACCGGCAGCGACAGAGGAAGCGAGCTGCTACCCTGCTGGCTGAACTTGAAGCGGAGAGAGCAGAGAGAGACGAGGGCGGGGGAACGGGCAAGAGCAAGAAGGGCAAGAAAGGGAGGAAGGGGAGGAAGGGGAGAGGAGATGATGATGAGGATGAGGAGTGGGGGGAGGACGAGGAGGATGAGGTGGAGGGGTTGTATGTGTATTCGGGTGGCAGGATGGATCCTGAGCTGGTGGCGTACTTCAGTGCTGTTGTGCTGCTGGCAGCCACGGGCCAAAGTGAGTCATCTCACGAGTAGGTTGTCTTTGGGAATTCTAACAACCTCCCTCCCTTCCTACCCTTCCCTTCCTACCCTTCCCTTCCTACCCTTCCCTTCCTTCCCTTCCTTCTCAAGGAGTTACCCCATCTCTTAGGAGTTACCCTATCTCTTAGGTAGGATCGAGTGTCTGGAGTGTCTTTCAGACATCTAACAACCTCCCTCCCTTCCCTCCCTTCCCTTCCTTCTCTCGCACCCACCTCCCTTTCCATCAGTGCCTGACGTCATCTCCTTAGCACGTGTGAGCGTGGCATACGCATGGAATCTGGACGGCATCACCACATGCACGTACATGCCACCGCTCTCCGACCCCTCCCACCAACCCCGACCTCCACATTCCCTCGCGACCCCACCAACCCCTTCCCCCGTCAGTGCGGGACGTCATGTCCTTGGGTCGAGTGTATCATGGCACAAGCACGGAATCTGTACCACTTTCAAACATCACAAAAGCTCCCTCCCTTCCCTCCCTTCCCCTCCTCTTACCCACCTTGCCCTTCCAGTGCCGGACGTCATCTCCTTGGCGCGTGTGAGCGTGGCATACGCATGGAACCTCGACAGCGTCACCACATGCACGTTCATGCCACCGCTCTCCGACCCATCCCACCCGCTCTACATGCACGTCCCTCCCGACCCCACCAACCCCTCCGCCTCCCCGCCGTCACCCGGTAACCACCCGGTGGTAACCGCGCTGTCGCTCGCCCTGGACGTGACTGCCAGCAGCCTGCAGCGGCCGCTATCGGATCTCATGACTGCAATGATTGCGCTGGATGAGATTGGGCGGCGACTGATAGAGACGGAGCCCATCTGCCACATGGCACAGCACTCGGAGATCCTCTCAGAGACCTTGGATAAGGTGAGGGAGAGAGCTCAGCTCAGGTCAAGTGATTAGTTGACCGAATACATGAGGAATACTTGAGGAATACTTGAAAGACTTGACGGTATTTCAAGTCTTAGAGGCAGAGCCTTGGAGGCAGAATCTTGGAGGCAGAGTCCCTCTGCCACTTGGCATGATGGCGCAGCACTTGGAGGTTTCCTCTGAGACCCTCTCTCCTTCCTCTCCTCTCCTCCGGCCCCCACTCCCTCACAGGTGTGCACGCCAGCCTTCTTCGCCGAGGCAGCAGCGGTCAAGCCTGTGGTGGCGTTCCCTTCTCACCTCCCCTCCATGGCACTCCCTTCCTCCCTCTCCCCCTCCCTCACCCGCTTCCCTTCAACCTCCCCACCCCCTCCCAGGTGTGCACGCCGGCTTTCTTTGCGGGGGCAGCAGCAGTGAAGCCCGTGGTTACCTTCCCATCCACCCTCCCTCAATTGCACTCCCTTCCCTCCCTCTCCTCTTCTCTCCTCCTTCCCTCTCCCCTCCCAGGTGTGCACACCAGCTTTCTTCGCAGAGGCAGCAGAAGTCAAGCCAGTGGTGGCGCTCCCCTTCTGAGCTATCATTGCCGCCTCTCCCTCTTCCTCTTGCTACTCCCCTGCCCAGGTCTGCACACCAGCTTTCTTCGCGGAAGCAGCAGCAATGAAGCCCGTGGTGAAGTTCCCTTTTAACCACCCCTCCATGGCACTCCCCTCCTTCTCCTTCCCTCCCTCGGCCCCTCTTCAACTCCTCCATCCCAGGTGTGCACGCCGGCTTTCTTCGCAGAAGCAGCAGCAGTGAAGCCCGTGGTGGCGTTCCGAGCCAGCAAGCGGGACATCCTCGCTCGCCTCTCTGCGCGCCTCAA